ATAGATAGATAGATAGATAGATAGATAGATAGATAGATAGATAGATAGATAGATAAATAGATAGATAGATAGATAGAGGTCACATTCTCCCTGCAGGGGACTGATATGGACACAAAACAGTGTGTTATTGTAGCAAAGACCCTGTAGCGTGAGTGAGTGGTCCCATTCTTTGACCCAGTTGGTGAGCTAAAGCTGATGGTTTGGCAACTTGCCAGAAAGAGGAAAAAAATTCTTCTTTCACGTGAGAGTGCCAAGTTACACCCACCACCGCCACCACCCTTCCCCCTCCTCCCATAAACCTCTGTGATTTAAGACATTCCTGGACTGAGGTGGATGTAGGTTATTAGAAGGATTAGATGAACACATATCTACTATACATTTCTGTTAACGCCTCCTTAAAGTCCTAACTACATTTTTTCCCGGGGTATTAGGAGGACACAGCTGCATGAAATACGGGTTTCCCTGCAGTCCAAACAATCCTGCAGCCGGGCTGCTTGCGTCACCCCTTTACGCCATCCAACGTGAGAAAACCTACTACGAGTTTTCATTGAACGTCGCCACGCCTTTCCAACGTAAACAAAACGGAGGCTTGACCAATAGGATCCGCGATAGATCAGCCGATGATCAGATGACTGAAAGGGGAAACTATTTAAATGAAAAGAGGCAGGGGAGCGAGCAGGTGGTACATTTCTGGAGCCGGACTTCTGGAGGCGCGCACGGCAGAGACGCAGCGGCAACCCGGCTCTTTCCCTTTGTCACCTCTGGATCCACGCTCTCTGCGCCGAACACGGAACATCAAGGAAATATTTAGTCCCCGGCAGGTTTTAAAGCGCTGCTGTCTCGTCTGTGACTGAGAAATGAATCACAAAGCCGTTTTATTCTGCACGTTCCTTCAGTGTCTGTCTGCGTTCTTCTCGTCCGCTGCCGGGGAAAATAGTGTTCTGAAAGGTAAGGCTATCTTTTGTTCATTCATTCCATTTTATTTTCATTCATTTCCTTTGTTTTCATGCCAATTATTTAGACCCAAACACACGGGCTTGAGTCTGGGTTTAAATTTAATCAACTAAAACGAAGAAACACACATTTTGCTTCACATTTGCGTTATTTTTTCTTGCCTTGATTGATTGAGGTGGATTATTTTAATGTTTTGGGTATAAATGTGGCGGGCAGAGCAAACCAGAAAAACGGGGGTGGATTTAGAAGCTGCCCCGAGTGCAACGTGTCCTTTTTGGGGAGGTTTCGGAGCGCGCACGGCACCGCGCCACGTTCGAGGAGAGGAGAACCGTTTGGGGAACGTGTTCCGCTGAATCCGCGTTTTACCGCCGACCAATCAGCTCCCCGGCTCAGCTGGAGCCACTTCAGTCTGTGGGGGGCCAATTTACCACACAGGGTGTTGGGACTAAAGTGCAAGCAAACTAATCTGGRTTTATAATTATCCAGTTTTTTTTTAAAGTTTATACTAAATCAATTTCATCAGAACACGCTCACGTTTTATTTACATTATTCTTACAGCATAATCTCAAACTCTTAAGATCCGCCCTTTTTTCTATTCATTTCTTCTAATCTCTCCAGTGACTCATGGGCTACACCTGTCTCATTGACCTGCCTTAATTGTTTGGCAATGGAAGGCACATTATCCTGCATGGTTTATTATTTTTTTAATCAGGTTTACTTTGAACCCATTCTGTCATTATCTACAGACCGATTTTTATATTTGAATCAGTCCAGGTGTATGTACTTGTTTGGCTTTTAAATCTATAATCTGAGATTATGACCTTCAGCTGTGTTCAATGAGATGTATCTTAACTTTTTTGCTCCAACTTCCACTCACCCAGTGTAACTTTATTAATTTTTTTTTACTCATTGGTCAGAAATGAGTCAGTCATGGTGCAATCCTTCAGTTTAACAATGTGTGTTTGTTGTTTTCGCCACAGGTGAAGATGATGAGTTTGAGCCATCGATGGACCAGAAGGATCTACAAGGATTGGTAAAATACAACATGAGGAAGAGTCTGGATCTGGAGCAGGAGGGGTGCTACCTGGAGACTGGGAAGAAGGGGTGTCTAGAGGAGTGTGGCTTCAACGCTACAGCCAAGACCATCTTCATCATCCACGGCTGGACGGTACGAAACCTGTGCCGAGTCGTCAGCTCCGCCTCAAAGATTGGGGGAGAAAGATTAGTTGTTTTGTTTTTAATTTTTTTTAAGTTCTGACTTTCTTGTTTTCCTCAGATGAGCGGCATGTTTGAAAACTGGATGCACAAGCTGGTCTCTGCGGTGATGCAACGTGAAAGCGGCGCCAACGTGGTGATTGTGGACTGGATCCCCTTGGCTCAGCAGCTTTACCCGGACGCCGTCAACCACACGCACACTGTGGGGCTGGACATCGCTGGCCTGCTCAACTGGCTCCAGGTGTGTTCAGTCACTTTTCACCCAGCATTTCCTTGTCTTTTAAATGAACATCTGCAGACACTGGAACAGAATATTAATGAGTATAACAAAGATCAATAGAGCTGTCTGATCTGTGTGCTTTTGGCAGGAGGATCTCTGTTTGCTGCCTTATCACTTGTTTGCATTTCATGAAGTAGTTTAAATCAAACATGGCTTTTAACACTTTCATGACAATTTTTTTTATTTAAAACCTCACTTGTCTGCACACAGTCGAGTTTAATTCCCTACATGGAGGAAACTTGTCAAATTGTAGTTTAACTGGGCTTGGCTCCACTGCAGGCATGACTCAATTACTGGCTAAAACTCAGGGTTTGTCCACTTTTGTGGCAGCTGCTAAAACCAGTTAAATCCTTGTTTTCTCCAACAGGATGAGCTGCAGCTGCCTCTGCAGAATGTTCATCTGATTGGCTACAGTTTAGGCGCTCACGTCGCTGGATACGCAGGGACGTTTGTGGAAGGGACTATCGGCAGAATCACAGGTAAGCTGGCCTGATTTCCTAATTCTGCCTAAAAAAGTGCACTTTAAGAAGTTATTTAAGAAGTTATTTGATTTCTTACAGGTCTGGACCCAGCAGGACCTATGTTTGAAGGCGTTGAGGAGCAGAAACGCCTGTCTCCAGACGATGCAGACTTTGTAGACGTGCTGCACACGTACACACGGGAGGCTTTGGGTGTGAGCATTGGGATCCAGCAGCCCATTGGGGACATTGATATCTATCCCAACGGTGGTGAAGTGCAGCCGGGCTGCGGGCTTACCGACGTGCTGGCCGTGGCAGGAAGTGAGTGTTTGATCGTGTTTTGTTAAATCTCTAAACTTTGAGTTTTCACCAACTTGATCCATTCTTTTTCCCTTTGAATATTTCCAGATTTTATGGAAGTGATGAAGTGCGAACACGAGCGAGCGGTGCACCTGTTTGTGGACTCGCTGATGAACCGGGACCATATGAGCTTCGCCTTCCAGTGCACCGGCCCGGACCGCTTCAAGAAGGGGGTCTGCCTCAGCTGCCGCAAGAACCGCTGCAACAACATCGGCTACAACACCAAAAAGATGCGCAAGAGGCGCAACAGCAAGATGTACCTGAAGACTCGAGCCAACACTCCCTTTGGGGGTAAGAATCGACACGTGACTTGTGTACACAAACACACCCTGTGTAAACTACACGCCCACAGTGAATTAATGCCTTTTTTTCTTTTTTCATAAGGCTACCACTACCAGATGAAGATGCACGTGTTCGACAGGAAGCAGTCCAGCAATACTGATCCTACCTTTTATGTGAAATTGTACGGCGCCCACAGCGACACAGAAAAAATCTTTGTTGTGTAAGTTCTGGAGCTATATGCAGCCTGCAAAACCAGTCTGTTCTCATAATTCTGTTCTGATGCAAGCAGATACCTGAACAAGTGGCTATGACGTCAATTTTAAACTCATCTTGTCTGTGATGACCTTTTCAAAGTCTTAGTTGCAAATATGGCACTGACATTCCTCGGTCTTTGCTTGTAACATTTGAGTAACCCTCGATGTGTGGTTTCTTTGTCCAGCCATGATGACCCCATCAGTATGAACTTTACCAACACCTTCCTGGTGTTTACCGAGGAGGACATCGGTGACCTGCTGAAGATCAGTCTGACCTGGGAGGGAGAAAGCGAATCTTTCAGCTCTTTCTGGAAACACGTTAAACACTCCTTCTGGAGCTGGAACGCAAACACCGCCAAACCTGTACTGGAAGTTCGACGGATTCGTGTGAAAGCCGGAGAAACGCAGAAAAAGTAGGTGGTCGTGTCGACGGACTGCTTGTACTGATCAAAAAATTGCCTTTAACCTCCCCATTAAATAACTTGTTTCACTTCCGTACAGGTTCACTTTCTGTGCGCAAGACCCTTCAAAAACTGAAATCTCTCCAGGGGAGTCGATAACGTTTGTGAAGTGTCGAGACGGCTGGGAAGTGAAACCAAGGAAACGGTATGAAACTTTTTTTATTATGTTTTTTAAATTTGGAGTGGTAGTTCTGTGTAATAACCCTGACTCTGATCAACAGGCTGTCCATGTAAAATCCTGGCCCAATGATGACCAATGCACCGTCACCATGGGTGGACCCGACTTGGATCAGGGAGGAGCCCCACCTTTTCGTATGAGCACTTTCATTGGAGGATTCATCGGCGCACCGTGGTGGGGGTGGAAAGGTGGGGCAAGGGTCTTCTGGACACATGTTCCTTCACCTGATCTCTGGGGTTCTGTCTGAAGACCACAGGAAGGCTGAAGCGGTGGGCAGGCTTGTGGTGGCAGCAGTCCCAGCTTGTGTTACAGCTGCTTGACCGGTTGCAGAAYGTTTCTTTTCGTGTGAAGTAGAACGCAGATGCTGTGCCAGTGGTCACATCTGCAATTGTAATGGTATGGTACTGTACATTTTTTTAAAAATATTTTATTTATAAAAAAATAAAAGCACTGCAAGACCAAGATTATTTATGTCGGCACGTCCCATAATGAAGCACATGTGGTGTTCCATATGCAGTATTTGTATGTTTGTCTGTGACCAAGAAGTCTTTCTGCTGAAAGATGACTAAACACTGTAGGCTGATCCGTTAAATACAACTTACTTTGTCGTATTGTGGCTTATTATGGGGTGTCTGTATATATTGTAAATAACTTTTTGGAAATAAAATAAAGTATCTGTTTGTACACACTGTTTTTGTGTTTTTAATGTTAACATGGGTTCATTTGGCTACTATAGGTTACTGTTAAATTTCTAAATGTAAGTTCCTGACTTTTGCAGCTTAATTATATTTGTGGTGGTCAATCACAATCCTGGTAAATTCAAGTTTCTGGTCAAAAGAAACCATTTCTTCAAACTAAAGTGGTTCAGAGTTGAGCGGTAACTTTTTTTTTTCCCCCTTCCACAAAACCCTACTTCAAAAGTGCTTTAAAGACTTCAKGATTAAGCTCAAGCTCTTTAAAGGGGAGGTGTCCATGTGAAACTTTCTGATCTTTATATCATATGTCATTCCCTCAAACATACCAGAGTGTTGCTTTGACTCATGTTGGAGAAATCCTTCAATCTCCTGTGGAGCTGCCTGAATATTTGCTGGTACATAGCTCCGCCTATTTACACAACTCCTCCCTGGAGTTCAGTCCCCATCTGGGCTATCCCCTTGTGTCAAACGGTAGATTCTTATTGACAATTTCAAAGCCTTTAAGGGCCCAAGATGCTAAGTTTATATATGTACAGCTTTTTCAAACACATGCTGACCTGAGACCAGTTGGGGATTTCAGTTATTTCTCCTGTTTGAGCTTCTCTCTATTGGCTCCCTGTTGAATACAGAATAAGATGTAAAATTTAACAAAGCTTTCAAAACCAAGGTCCGTTTATATTCAATGCCTCTGTTCCAAATGCAGGTTTACTTGTGGTTCCTAGAGTTTAAGAGTAAAATGGGTTGTAGAGCATTCAGTGAGGCTGACTACTTTTCAGACTTACATTTTATAATAAATCCTCTAGTTCAGTGGTTCCCAACACTGGTCCTCAAGTACCCCTATCCAGCATGTTTTACTTGTTTCCCTGCTATTCAGCAGGTCTTCCGAAGATTGTCAATCACTCATCCAGTCAAATCAGGGAAACATCTAAACATGCAGGAAAGGAGTCCTAGAGGACTAGGATTGACAATCACTGCTTTAATACATATCTGATTTATTATTTACAAATAAAAGAACCAATGGCTTCCAGAGGCAATACTAAAAAACATAACACTGAGTCAATATTTTGTTTTGAAAATGTCTCGTCAAGCTCAGAGAAGCTCTTGAGGTGTTGGTCATCATTTTAAAACAGTGACTTTTAGATGTTTCCCTGATTTGACACACCTGGTTTGAATGAGTGATTAACAATCTTCTGAAGACCTGCTGAATAGCAGGGAAACAAGTAAAACATGCTGGATAGGAGTACTTGAGGACCAGGACTGGGAACCACTGCTCTAGATCAGTGTTTCCCAAAGTTGGGGTCGGGTCCCGAAACTTCAAGGTGGGGTCCTGAAAACATTTTCTGAATTAATTACATTTTTTTGCCTTAGTTGTTACAAATGAGTGAGGTTAGTGTATTTAAAATGGATAAATGTAGTATAAAAATATTACTATGCCCATGTTTAGTTGACCTGATACAAATGTTTATCATCCAAAAATAGTTGTGGGCACAGGTCTCTGCTACTGTTATTTTGTGGGTCAAAARCTGAAAAGTTTGGGAACCACTGCACTTTGGTTCCCAAAGTTGGGCTTGGGACCCAATTATGGGTCATGAAGCACCTTGGATAATCTCCAGAAATCAATTTAAATGGTAATAAACCATTGCTGATGTAATATTTTCCCTATAATTATTACAAAAACACAAAATAAGTAAAAAAAGTATTTATATTTGTGTACAAGCTGTTTAGATTGTCAAAAAGCCTGTGTTTTTAGGGTTATTATCAAAGTTTGTGTACTCAGACCAGTAATATTTGGGGTCACAAGTTTTTGCCATGGATATTTTGTGGGTCAGAAGACAAAAAGTTTGAGAACCACTGGTCTAGATGAACTCCGTTGACCCATTAAGTCACACACAAACTGTCAGAGTGAAGTAAAACTGCTGCTCTGGCAGGATTATATTCCTCATTGCTGCCGAACTTGAGTGGAAATCAGTGACCCATGTTTGTTTCGACATGAAGCAGTTGCATTACAACGTTTCCTCGAAAGAAAGAAAGAAAGAAAGAAAGAAAAAAATGAATTCTGCAAATATTGTCACCTCCTCTTGCCCTGTCATGTTTCACATAAGAGTCCTGGAAATTACAAGAAAAGGAATGTAGTCTTCCAGAGAAAACATGAAACAGATGTCGGTCACTGGCTGAGTTTTCTGGGTCGCTGTCTTGATGTTCCACAAAGTGGGTGATTAAAAACACAAAGAGGCTGAAACTGTCTGCGACCCCTCATCAACAAACCCCCCCATTTACTTTGATGAATAACTTCTGTTCCAGTATAAGTGGGAAACATTCACTGTTCTGTTAGTCACTGTCTGCTTCTCTGTGGAGTTTCTTCTTTACTGTCTTCTTTTTTCTTTCTTCTTCTTTTTTTGTTAAACCACAGGCAAAGCCATGTTTGCACTCAAAGATACCAGTAAACAATGTTAAAACATGTTCAAAACAACATTTTCTGTGGTTCAAAAAACAGTTTCTTTCAAGAGGTGTTAAACAGTCTGGAAACCCTGTTCAGACCAGATTTTATGGGGGTCCAGGGTTTAAGGTTGGCAGCTTTCCTGATCATTTATTAAACCTGCTTTACAGACGTCCAGGGATTTCTTTTAGAAGCACAATCCAAGAAAAACATAAAAAAGCTTCCACTTTGAAATCAATGAATTGTAATGATTTTACTTGTTGAGATTTCTTTACTGTGACAAATTTAAAACTAAAGGATGAAGTTAGTTTAAGCTGGGTCACATTACTTTTATTTAATGAAGTGCCTTCGTCATGACTTGTTAAGGAAAGCTAGAAAACAAACAAAAAAAAAAACAAGGCAACTTTTAGAGCCACACTTTTTCCTTTTTTTTTTTTTTTTTTTAGATAAGATGCTTTAGGATAAACAATGTTTGCCAAATAAACTTTGGTCCAAAGTGGAAAAGGTTTGTGTCTCAAAAACTGCAGGGAAACATGGTTTTCTTTAATTTTTTTCATGTAAAGAATCTCTAAATAGGATTTTTTTTAATGACCACCTGCTGCTGCGATCATGTAATTGCTTCTGTCTGTGTTTGCTTGGTTTTTGTTGCTTTTTAGGACCTTTTCTGGTATAATCACCTGCCTTACTGGACCTGCTAGGAACCAAAACCTGGTCCTGGTATGGTGGAACGCCATGGGTGTTATGTTCAGAGCTTAGATGAAATCTGAGTTTAAGTTGGGTTTAGTGTTATGGTCTGGATTAAGCTGCAAAAAGGTAATGTTTTGCTGTTTGTTAGTAAAATATTTCATTAACCAGTGGGTGGAGTTTAATAAAACTGAGTCTGCCTGTTTTAAGGCAAACTGAGCACTAACAGATCTTTATTTGCAACTTTAACCTTCAACTTCTGATCTTAGCAGTGATCATTTTGCTTTCTGGTTTAGTTTTTTTGGCTCGTTCATGCAATGGTTMCTCCCGTCGTTTGAGACTTGTTTTGACCTTTGTTGCTTTTTCCTTTCCCCCACGTCCAAAGCTTTTAATTAAGATCCACATTAACGTAATCACATTCTGTTTGCAGACGGATGCACTTTGACACAAATGGATGCAATCTCTTATCAGATGAAATTTGGGACGACTGAGGACTCAGACTGAACTTTGACTGATTTCTTTTTTCTTTTCAGCGAAGACGTGTTTGTGGCTCAAAGTCTTCCACAAATCCAAACCGCTTGGAGAAATGCTTCATTTTAGTTTCATCTGAATCTCCGTCCGTCCGTTTTCTGCCGCTGAATCTATCTGAATCTAAATCCTATTTTTTGTTAAGACTGTTGTGAGCACGAGAGTTTRTAAAACAAAAAGAACTCAGTTACCAAAAGGCACTAAACAACTGAAATCATTAGTATTTTGCTGTTAATTAAATGTTCATTCTTTGTTTCGTTTCTGTGAACATCAGCAGACACAGTTTTGAGGAGGCTTTTTAAAAATAATGTTTTTTTTTCTTCTTTTTTACCAGTCTGCACATGTCCCTCTGAAATAAATGCAAAAAATCAGGGGGATTCCATTTTTACAAAACAGAAACTTTGCTGAGAAAAAMAAACAAACAAACATTTGGATTGTGTGTAATTTGATATTTGTATCTGACAGGGGCACTCTCTCCGTTACTTAAAATTGATGGTTTCTGCTAAAAAGCTGAGACAGAATAACTGAGCAAAACTCACAAAAACCAACTTAACATCTCATCGGCTTCATCACATCCATCAATCATCCGATGGGAACTGTCTTCTGCCTGACTGAGCTCAATTTTAGTATCACTTGTGTTTCACTTTCTTTCAGTTTTGTTATTTGCACCTCCTCTTCCAGCAAGTGTTTTTATTTTGAGGCAAAAATCTGATATCAGGGAGTTAACCCAAAAAGAAAACAGGAGCATCCGCCGGTCAGCAGCTGCCTCTTTGTAGTTAATTAGTTTTTASGTTTATGAGTGGTCGTCTTCCTTTTATGAGTTTCTTTAAAGTCTGTTCAGTCGTTAGATATTTTGCTAACACATAGACAAACAAACTCGATAGCATGTCTGCTTTCATGGCAGTAGATTAATTACTGTATTCAGTTATGTGGCGGAAAACCACAAGTAGAAGTAGTTTCTGCTTCTGACCACTTTTCTTAAAAACATCTTGTTATTTCATCACTAYGGCCTTTTGTTGTTTTCCCTCTGAGATATACGGGGCTTCAAGGTGCGAAGTTGAAAAATTCTGTGTTGAATATAAACAATATTTATATTCAATCAAAACAAGAGCCTAAATGTCTTATTTATTTACAGTTTGTGTTTTACACAAGTTGTTTAACCCTTTGGAGGTGTGTTGTGTAAAAGCTGATTCAACACATATATTAAAATCTAATTCAGACRATTGGAGCCATGAGTTTTGTCTTTTGATACTTTTTTTAGCATTATTTGCTATTATTTTCTTTATAGAAAATCATTGAGGTTCATTCAATTCCTGCAAAGCATTGTTCTGATGCTTTCA